GAAGTTTGACAAACCCCAGGTCCTTGCAAAAGAAGTCCGTTATCTACCCAGGATGCTGCGAGAGGCCATTGAAATTAAAAAACATCCTAATTTCAACAGGGAAGATGGTTTCTCCGTACCCCCAGTTTGGGATCCAGTATTTCCTCTAATGAAAAATCCCAGACATAAGACTGCAGTACTAATTAATATGTTTTAGTTTATTCTAATTTCTATTAATAATTAATAATAAATTAAACTTAATAAAAATTCATTCAATAAAATAATTTGTAAAACTTAATGTAGCGTAAATTGGAATGTTTTCTTTGTAAAATTAAAAATAATGTATTTAATTAATAACTATTGTAACTATAGTGAAAAAATAGGGTGGTTTGCATTAATATTAGACATAACTGGTTGAAGACTGTACCACCTCAGTCAATCGTGACCATGGGACCTGTAAAGGGCCCGAAACGTCGGTTTGTTTGAAAAAACAAATATACGCGATTTAAATCCGGAAAAATAGTTTCATTTCCTATGTAAAACGTTGAATTTAAATTGTAATGTCATCGCAGTACTGTCTAATTTTGCTTGCTTCGCTGTCAGTCTAACAAGCGAAGACTAAAGCGTGAATGACGCTCTGTACACGATTTTAACGCCCTATAAGTTCGGACACTATTTAGCGCGGACCCGACGTCCATATAATTGTAAGTCAATGCCTATTCATGCTAGATTTAAATTAAGGACTGTTATTTTTAACCGACTTAAAAAAAGGAGGAGTTTCTCAATTCAACTGTTCTTTGTGTGTGTAAGTTACGCGATTACTCCTGTTTTTGTGAACCGATTTTGATGATTCTTTTTAACTGCCTCCGTGGCCGAACGGTTACCATGCCATAGGTTCGATTCCCAGGCCGGGGGAAATATTTGCATGGCCTACATTTATTTCTCTAGTGAGTTTGAGTGTAATTTGTGGTTGTCTATGTGTGTGTCCATGGCACCCGCGACACAGGGTTTCCCTAGTGCGGGGCTATGTTGAGTGTGTGTTCGTTCTTATTATTTATTTATTTATTTTTTTGTTAGAAAGGGTACTGTACATACCGTACAGTACAGGTCCCATTTAAATTTAAAGAATATTCCACCTCTAATGGCAAACTAGAGGATCAAACCGGTTTCGCGTCTTTCCGGTAACCGATTTCAATAAAACTTGGCAAGTAACTGTAATTCCACAAAGTTTTGAGATCGGCTTTTTTTATAAAAAAAGTTATTTGAGGCTTTTTTTTACAAACATTCTTTCAGTTGATTATTTTTAGTAACAGTACCTACATTTCTACTAAAGTACAAGTATAAGCGTAAAAAACGTTAAAATTAATACAATCATTGACTTAAATAATGTGTGTTTTTGAAACAGCTTTAAATAGATATGCCACGCCGGAAAAACCATCATACGCCGTCGATTATTTTACGATCAACACACATTACCCTTTGCATTCCCTTTTGGTACCTTAATTGAAATTAAAAATTACCTAAGAAAGGTTTTTGTTTAAAGTAATCTTCAGACAGGCCACCTTCGATTAGTTTATCGACCTCAGTGGCGTCCTTTAGAGCGTCCTCAAACCTTTCATCCGTTACTGCATTCAAGATTGTGTTGACCTGAAAGAGAATAAGAAATGTGTAAATTCTACATTTATTAGGCACATAATTAAGGCGCAGTAGATAACAATGGACAGCGACCAATTGCACCACAGTCTACTACTATCAATGCTCATTCAGATTTAAGGAGGTCAGGGGGGCTGAAAATTAATATGAATAAAAATAAGAAAAGGCGGAGAAAATTTGACACAGACCCGACGCCCGATAGCGCCTTTGTACAGCGGGAGGCGCGGTGTGTCGTTAAACCGCTAGGCAATTTGCAAATTTTGATAAATGTGAATTTAATAAGTATAGGGCTTCAGTTGAAAACCAGAATTTAGCAGGTTCTCTGTAGTACTTAAAGATAAATATCTCCATATAATAATAATAATAAATTCTTTATTTTCGCACCACAATACGATACAGAGAACATAATAAAAGTACAAACGATACTATGATAAACATATTGTGGGAGACTGATGCCTAAACTAGGCACACAGCCTGTATTTCGGCTCACCAGGTCTCCAACCCTCGGGAATACATTTCTGTCGGTAACATTAACGCAATAACTATATACGCTTTACTCAATGCGGCATGAGTGAGATAAATGCTATTTCAAAATTAATTCATTTAAGAGTTAATAAGGTTAGTACTTTGAGCGTACTTTGAGTGTTGTGTGTGCGCGCGTGTGTGTGTGTGGTGTGGTGTGTGAGCGAATACATGTGCTGGTGTGTGTCTGTGTGAAAGATGTTACACTATGCATTTGTAATTTTATTTTTGTTTTGTTTTTGTACCTCAGTTCATTAACAATTTAAAACAATACACATTGTAATATACAGGAGCAGTAAGCAGCATTTCAGTTTCTTCACAATTTAATTCTTGCAACCAAACTGTTATTTACTTTTTGCAAGTTTTTATTTAAATATGGACAAGGACCTATTTGCGTTATTACAGAGGTAGCCACGTAGATAGATATAATATAAAAATTATGTAGAAAGTTAGATATTTTAATCTCACCAAGACCGTCACTTTATCAATAGTGGTTTGTTGTAGTAACAATAACTCACTTTACTGTAGCATGAGAACTTTTAGTAACGTTAATTGCTGAGGTTGACATCTTCCACGACTCAAACGGAATGTCACAACTGCTTTAGGGTCGAAACATAAAACTGCGAATTGCGGCGATGCGATTTCGCGCGGCAAACCGTCTCACTGCCACGGTTCGGGTGATCATTCCTTCGACGACCATCAACCGTATTGAACGTATTTTTTAAACTTAGTAGCGACAGGGATCCTAAAAAGAGCGTCGTGCGAGCTCGTAGGTGAAAGGTGAAGGTGGAGTTTTAGGGGTTTTTATTGTTTTGTTCAATAATTTCTTAGATAGTAGTTTTCGTTTTCTTTTCTTTTTTGTATACAGTAATTCTGTTTCAATTTTCTTTTAAAATTAAGGTTCTTTTTTTATAAATGCTGTAATACGCCTGTAATGGTACATACTGTACAAAAATGTATATGTTAAAACAGTGTAAGTTGCTCCATGTATGTGCCGATGGTGTATCTAAATAAATAAATGTTTAACATAGCAGTTATTGTCGTTTTGTTAGGCTTTTTTTCTGAGTGTAGTTTTTCTTACCATGTCACTAGCTTTCATTGAAGATAAAAAATAAATATAACCAAACACTTACAGCCTTAATTCGTTCAATGCAAACTTGAACTAAAGTCACAGATTTAAGTTCTTTCTTCCGTATTTTCTCAGCTAACGAAACAGCACTCTCCGCTAACATTTTATGTCTTGCGTCTAATGGTGGAATAGGTTGCCGGGCTGGGTTCCAGACGATGGAGAATACAAAATCCAGGAACATGTCCAGATAGGAACGGATTATGAAGAAAATGTGTATGAACATGTTGAAGGCTATCGCGTTAATGATTTTACCAGTCTTGTTATCGCGGTGCTGAAAAATAGAAATTACCCATTAAAATTTAAAGTGAAGGTGGATGAAAACACAAGGTCGAAGAAGAATGCCTATTTAATGCAATTAAGATATAAAGTAATTTGAACAAAATTATTCGGCAGAATAATAATGTTTACTACATATAAATATTCTAAACGAAACTGTATTTATTTAATTAAATACAACAGAAATATTAGTTTAAGAGAAGGTGACCAAAGGTGGACTTATCTCTAAAAGAGATCTCTTCCTGCCAATCCAAGTTCATTTTATCCCACTCACTCACGCACGCACACACATACACATACACACACACACACATTCTCATAACTTAAGTTAAATATAATTAGCATTATAATTGTCCTTCCCTCTATTCATCTTGGTTTTATCTCGTCAATGTTCACTAATTTTTAAAATAATTATAAGGAACTCATCCATTTGAATCTCTGTCTCTTGAGATACAGGTTTTTACCTAGTTCAAGAGTCAGTGTCGTTACTTGTTACTTCCTGTTCCACTTTCATTGTAATTGTTTTTTTCTGAAACCGTTATGTGTATTTTTGTATCTATTTGTAATTTGTGGAAATAAATAAATTTTATTATTATTATTATTTTATGGCCTACGTAGTTTTGAAATGAAACGGAACGAATAAGCGAATTTAATTTTCAAGTGTTTTCGTCTTTAAATAAACATAACAACCGGATATTCTTTTTTATGGTATTGGTGAGTCAGGTCTGCGCCATGCACACGCGTGTCTGCCTGTGTCGATTCAAACGTGCGCAAGCATCGGTTTAACAGCGCGTTTGCATCCTCACAAACTTGCAAAGGCGCAAATTCATTTAAGGGGCAATGAAGACGCTTCTATAATACGATTTAGTGCAAGAAAAACTTGTGACTAACGGTTATCAATTATCATACATCTTCTGCGTACTGATAAAAAACAGCGATAAACCCGTTTAGCTCTTGCTGGTTGTGTCGGTCAATGATATTTAAAATAAATATTGTAAATGATAAATGTTTATAAACGTGTATTTATCAAGAGCAACCCCCTGGGTTTCTTGCTTATTCCTCTCATGGGAATCTGCCTAACGAACGAGCAGTACAGTTTAATCAATATGACGATTTCAAGAGTAATTTGTATTTTTTTTAATTTTTCAACCATTACTGTCCCACTGCTGGGCAAAGGCCTCCCTTCCCTTTTTCCACTTATCGCGATTTAACGCTGCTACAGACCCAAGACCTCATATACGCGTCCAATTCGTCGCGCCATCTCGTTCTGGGTCTAGTGTTGAGTTACTCAAACACGAGGCAGCTCGTTTGTACCACTCGCTTGGTTAGTTTGTCACAACACCTCATGTCACAAAAATGTCCCACCTCACCTCATGTCATAGCCTCATGTAACAGCCTCACTCATGTCACACTGCTTCGAATTAAAAAAACGCAACAATGATTGGTCCTGCACTGCCCGCTTATTAGCTGATTTTACATCATATATGATCATACTAACATAGAGCTAAATAAAATTAGCATTTCCTCATTTGAAGTAGGACATTATACCGCCTCATTTTTTCAAATGAGGTACTTTATTCCCTCAAACGCATTTTAATTTCATGTCCTACCCAACACTATCTGTAGTCTTGCACTGCTTCGTCTTGCGTTTGGTGGGATCCACTCCATGGTGGTCTTTACCCATAGCTCGTTTGATATGCGACAGACGTGGCCGCCCCAATTCCATTTTAAGCTCGCGGCTTTATGACCAACGTCAACGTTATGTGTGTTGGAGCGCAGTATTGTGTTTCGCAACGCGGTCTGACAGTTTTACTTCCAAGATACTGCGCTACATGCCTCGCTGACCCCTAATGCGAATTTCTGACGATTCGTCTCCTAATTTGCTTACTTATGAAAACTTTTCTGGTTAAATAAACCTACAGACACACACTAAAACAATATATTGTTCCCGAAAAACCACTACATTCCTTCGTCCACCGCCAGTCGGGCCAAACTCTTGACAGTTCTAGTGCGTTGTAGCAATTACCAACTTATTTTATTAATTAGAATGAATGTTATTATAATCAAATTCCTTATATGTAAATTAATGAAACATTAAAATAACTTCATTCCTATTGCATATATAACAAAATAAACAGTATTTCATTTATGAAGAACACCAAAACGTAACTATATGATTTACTAAAGTCTTGCAACTTTAAAAAACATACTTAAATTTATCATTCATTCTTAAGTAACCTAATACTTCTCATAAGTGATATAAGTCATAATTATCATAAGTGATATAAAGATACTTTAACTTTGATTCAATATGAGCGACGTTACGCGACATTCGTGCGTTTCACAAACACTCGTTTGTATCGCTGCTAAGAGTCACATTATGTAACCGAGACTTTCGTGGCTATTCACTAAATGATGATCATTTTTAACCAACTTAAAAAAGGAGGAGGTTCTCAATTCGACTGTTTTTCATTTTGTATGTGTGTTACGCGATAACTAAAATACTACGGCATTTGTGAACCGATTTTGAGGATTCTTTTTTGTTGGAAATGGGACACTAACTAAAACGCTAGCTCCGTTTTGTGTTTTGTTATTTTAGTAACAAATGGTCCAATAACCATTTTAAATAGCAAAAATAAAATAGAGCACGAAATTTTCTTTTAAAAACAGTTAAAATTAGTTGACGTGTTCCAAGTTACTTTAACGATGCATGGCTGAAATGTCATCAAACAATTTCAATATTCCAAAACTGGGATAAGGTTTTTTACGATATCTCAAAAAAGTATTCTGTCATTTAGCCGCATTTTAGATAGTGGACGACAGAGTTGAAATATTCCGCCTTTAAGGGTAGAAAACTAGGGGATGAATCCAGTTTTGCGCACTTTCTGGTACCCGATTTAAAATAAAACTTGGCAAATAGATGTAATTCTACGAACTTTTGAGGTCGGTTTTTTTAGTACTGTAATGAAGGGTAGCTCAGGATGCGTAGCGAGAGGTACTTTTATAAAATATAAACCGGGATCATCTTAAGAACTCTGGTTTATTTCACCATTTTACATATTTTCACTTTCAGATTACAAATCAATAATGTAATATGTCAAGATCTTCTGTTTTCTTAACATTCTAAATATAAAACTATAATCACTACCTATATTCAGCCAGCAATTCTACTCATAGAGTAGAGCCTAGTCTACAGTACTCTGTACTGAAGTTATAACAATCTTCTTATAATTTTTCCAATATTTCGGAACGTCTACACGCTGACATGTGAACATGGCACGGGTCTTAGAGGATGGAAAAAAACGGGTTCATTCGCCTCATAGTATTTCGTGGTGTCATTATAATTTTTAACATGTAATAAAGTTTTTACATCTCAAGTTACTGTTATAACCAAAGACCGTCAGTGTTTCAGTGGGTGCAAAATTCAACACAATCTGCATGAGAATAAAGTTTCAATACCGGTAACTGAAAAATATTATATTGTAAACTACAGTTATTAAAAATCGCGACATGGAACATGAACAGATTAACATCGAACTAAAAGCAAGTGAAAGTAACATTAGTTGTACTCAGGCAGACATTCTATCCCGAGATTGGAATTTATCAATACCATAAATGATCTGGTACTGGCCACACTAAAACTGTAGTTGTTATGAACAATTCAATAAAACACCACCATATACACTATAAATTAGTTCACATATAGGTCAACGACATTTGCTGTAGAAGATTTAACTGGATACATGAATTTGCAGCTTACTGTCCAGACATACGGACACACCATAAATGAACCCTTGTTCATCCAGTTCTTTAAAATACTGGAAATTTTCTAGTGGTGTAGACGTCTTTTTTTAACCGACTCTAAAAAAGGAGGGGGTTCTTAATTCGATCTTTTTGTTGGAAAGAGGGTAGGTACCAAGTGATACCCATTCAAATTTGAAGAAAACAGTCCACCTCTAAGGGTGGCAAATGAGGAGATGAATGACTTTTGAGGTCGGTTTTTTTGATACTCTGTATTGAGATTAATGAAAGACCAAGTACAAAGACACGACGCAAGCACATAGAAAAATTCGTGAGGTCCGTTGGTTCGTCCCGTGGCTTAGTTGGTATAGCGTCTGTCACGGTATGCAAGAAGACGTCGGTTCGAATCCGACCGGATCGAAGGAATTTTTTCTGAGTGTTCGATCTTTGTATTAATAATGATAACAAACTAGTGAAGTAATTTCACAAAAAATAATTGAATATCAATTCAATAAAAATTTAATTAATACAGTGAATAGCGACATCTCTCGCCAGGACTGGTAGCTGTAAAGGTACTAACTGGGTGATAAATCTGTAATAGATTTCTCATAGATGGCGCTACGACTAAAAAGTCGTTGAAAGACCAAGTACAAAGACACGACGCAAGCACATAGAAAAATTCGTGAGGTCCGTTGGTTCGTTCCGTGGCTTAGTTGGTATAGCGTCTGGCACGGTATGCAAGAAGAAGTCGGTTCGAATCCGACCGGATCGAAGGAATTTTTTCTGAGTGTTTTTTCTGAGTGTAATAATTATAATAAGATTGTGTTTTTTTTTTGTTAACATATTCGGTATGGGTTACCTACACATTCGCCTCTTTAAATATTTATCTCGTTCAACGTGTCTCCCGTTATATCTTTAATATTAGACAACACCACATACGTTGCTTTGATCCCAGAGTATCCAAAGCACTTGTGTTATGGAAATCGGAAACAATGATGGCACCACAAACACCCAGACGCTAGACAATGTAGAAAAGTTGGTTTTTCCACATTGACCCGGCTGGGGATCGAATCCGGGACCTCAAAGATGACGACACCATGAAAACCGATGTGAAAGCTATTCGACCACGGAGGATGTGGGTTCTAATCTATATGTAGATATCTCATGGCAGAATAGGCAATCTCTATTTAATTGAATAGCAGTCTATATAGAGTTACACTTCAATGTGTGAATTGGAATTGAAGATAGTTATCCATATTTAAAAGATGTTATTGTTATCAGGTGGAGCTTCTGGACTCGTACTTCGGCGACGGACGCGCGTACATCATGGGCCCTGAGAAGGACTGCTGGTACCTCTACACTCTGTTGCCACTTGAAGGTATCATTGATTAATCTTTGACAGCTCGAATTCTAATCAATTAGTGATGTACTAATGCGTTTCTGATTCGATTTTTTTATGACAAGCGATTTTATTTGTAAAGTTTTAATCGTGCATGTGAGCGGGTTCAAAAAAGAAGCTATTGTCTGATTGGGATCGTGATGTTGCGTTTGACAATTAGTGTACTCAAGACTTCATAATTAATGTTAATGAAGATTCAAGTCATGATTCCCGTTCATATCGAGAAGAGTCCGACGATTCGTTTTAATAATCAATAAGAATTTAATATAATTATTTATAATTTATTTCATTTCATTATAATTTATTAGACAAGAACCAAAATTTATCAACTTGAATAATCTTCGTTACATAATCTGTTGGCTCGATAAATATCGGAGCTTCACTAAAACTAAAAAATTAAAATGTCCAGGAAGTATTGCAATTTTTTTGTCTATGGTTGTATATCAATAATTACGGAACTTCGGAGGCATGCATATGTCAGAAGTTAAATAAATGACTGGACGGAGTATACTATTGACATTTTATTAGCTATCAGTGACGAAGGGGGTAAATTTTTAGAAAATTTTAGCAAATATTCTAGACATTACCTAGCAAATATTCCATTTTTCTTTTCTTTTTTTATACCGAGTGACGGGAAGTCGTGCACCTGGTGGAAAGCGACACGCCTGTCCGTAACAGTTGCTGTGCCACTCAGAGCTATAAATCGCTATGATCTGAGGGGCACACCCACCTTAAGACATAAGTTGACAAGTCTCATGTGTAATTTCACCAGCGCCCTTATCCCTTAAAACCGGACTACTATAATGCTGACATTATCGCTTGGCGGCAGAAATAGATAAAGAACTCTACTGCTACTAAATCCATCCATCCGGCACTACAAACCTTGAAGAATAAATTGTCGTTTTTAAATATTTTTATCGGAACCTGTAAAGGGTCCGAAAAGTTTATTTGTTTGATAAAACAAATATACGCTAGTCAGATCCGAAACATTCTCATTTCCAAACAAATTCTTATATTATACGTAATAGATTTTGTCAGCCGACAAGTAAGCCGTTGTATTTTTCAAACCTTAACCGCTAAGATGATTGACCGTATAGACGGGCCTTTAGACATTGCAAAATATGTCACAGAACTAAAGGGATTAGATTTCATTCTTTTGAAAATATGGATAAGGATTGCACGACTTAATTCCGCCTTCTCTTTTCCATCATCGGGGGACTAGACGTAGGCTTTGGTTCCACCCCTATGTTGTGGATATTCCTAGGTTTCCCACAAGGCGTTTCGCTTCCACATTTATATGGCAAGTGGCGAGGAGTGGAATTCCCCGCCTGCGGACTTATTCCCCGAACGCTTACAACTTTTCAAGTCGATAGTGAATAGGCATTATTTAGGTGTGCATGCTATATCTTCGACCTCATCGTCGCTTTCCATCAGCTGAGATAGAAGTCAAATGCGCACCAAGTTCAATTTTCACTTAAAACACAATCTAAAAGCAATTTGTTATGAATTTTCAGGCACTGTTGATGCCCTGGAGAAGGAACAGAGCGAAGTGGGGCAACGCGGAGCTTCGGAGCCAGATCAGACCATCGAGATCCTCATGTCCGATTTGGACCCAGCTGTGATGGACATCTTCACTAGAGCCACCAGCAAGACCGCTGCTGAGGCTACCAGGGTAAGTGTCTATTACCAAATGTCCAATACATGAAACCCAAAAATATAAATACTTTTTTTTAATATAATATCAAGTGACTGGGACTTGTCAACTTATGTCTCAAGGTGACGGGCGCAGTGGCAGTCCCCTTCAGATCTTTTGCGATTTAAAGCTCTGAGTGGCACTGCAACTGTTATGGACAGGCGTGTAGCTTACCATCAGGCGCAGGACTTGTTCGTCCTGTCACTTGATATTATAACTTACTATATAAATTTTTATTGCGTTTCCTGTGTCTGTATTGAGATCTTGACTCATGCAGTTAGTTGTTTAATATGTTTGTTAAGGAATGGGGTCATACAGGCTTTCCAAAGTCGTGAAATCTGAAGAGAACTGTAGAAACTACAAAACAATAGACTAGACATATTCAATGGAAATTTCATTTGTGATTTTTATTTCTATTCTGTTAAGTAAACATAGTGTTTTCGTGTCACGATTGACAAGTAATTGCTCGCACGTAATGTTGTCGCGTATTTTCACCTAATTGTGTCTTTAACCCAAATATGTATCTGTTAAAAGATTTTCAGAAGTCAGACTTTCTACGGAACCATACAAAATCGTCGGGAAGTTGTGTAACTTTTGCCAAGCAAGAAAATGTAATAATAATCGTTTTTTTTGTGCGCAGGAGTCGGGCATCGATAAGATAATACCCGGGATGGTGATCGACGACTTCCTCTTCGATCCATGCGGATACTCTATGAACGGCGTTGCTAAAGACGTGAGTTGGTGGCTGCTGTAATCAAATTCAGAGTATATCTGTTATTAGTATTTAACTAATAACACCGTAATCATTTAACTGCTCGATCCCAGCAGATCGATACCTGCAACGAACACTATTTTTTGGTCATTTTTGTAAACAGCCATATTTATTTTTTACCAACTTCAAAAACAGGATGAGGTTCTAAATTCGACAGTATTTTTAGACAGTAGATTTTATTTTAATGATTATTTTTTTGTTGGAAAGAGGGTACCTCAGTATTGGTCCCATTTAAATTTGAAGAAAATATTGTTAACGTTCCTTAGTTTGCCTCTAAATTAATCCGGTTTCGCGCGCTTTCTGGTAAGCGATTTCAACCAACTTGGCAAATAGATGTAATTCCACAAACTTGTGAGGTCGCTTTATTTAGTACTCTGTGCTGAGTTTGTCTAATATTGTGCTGTCTTAATTTTGTGAAAAAAAAAAAGGAAACAAAAAGTATGATTCGAAAAAAAACAATTTAGTAAAAAAAAGAAACAAATAAAAACAGAACAGATACAAAAATTAAAATGGCGTAGTGTTTATTAGAGGTATCGAGATATATATTTTTTTCTACTTAGTTTTATTCTATCAAAGCCTGTTGCTCAACAATGTACTATTTTTATACTTGAGTTACTGAACACAGTAGTACCACAAAAGTGTTGTCACTGTCATTTTTGCAATTCATTATTCAGTCGTTCAATCCAATGGACAACATGCATTTTTAGGTAGTAATTGGAATATAAATACGAAATACGTATTTCGGCCTTTCTCACATTCGGTGTTCTCAGCCTAATTACCGTAACCATTTCGGTGTCCTCAGCCTAATTACCGTAGCCATTGTTTTTACCCAATAACATTGAAATATGAAAGACTTTAAGCTTAGCTTATAGAATAGACAAAGTAGACATATTGATAGTCCATGAAATATTTGTGTCTTAATACCTCGAAAACTACTTTGCCATTTAGACATATTGATAGTTAAGATTAAGCGAGAAAAAACATTGGCTACGGTAATTAGACTGAGAACAACGAATGTGAGAATGGCCGATTTATATCATATATTTCTATTTCAATTACAAGAAAGTCAAGATAACATAGACAGATACAATGTTACTTTGATTGATTTATTTATTATATGAACAATAAAAGAGGTCCCAATGAAATTACTTTGATAAGTGTTAATTCAATATGACATTACACAGTTCTGTACCAGATTGTAATAGTAATTTTCAGATAAGTTTTTTGTACTCAATTTTGGTGACTATTTTTATTATTTAATTACTCGAATATAAATCATGAAATAATATATGTACATCGTGAAATATTAAAGAATATTTCAGGTTACCACACTCGAATATTAAATAATACTTCATGATTATATTTTGTAAATATTTTAATGAAAAGAAATTTCCACCAAAATTTAGTACAAAAAACTTAGCTGAAAATTACTCAATAATCTAAGACAGCAAAAAAGATCTTGACTTTCAGGTAAGTTTTTTGTACTCAATTTTGGTGACAATTTTTATTATTTAATTACTCGAATATATCATTGTGAAATATTAAAGAATATTTCAGGTTACCACACTCGAATAGTAAATAATGCTTCATGATGATATTTTACAAATATTTCAATAAAAAGAAACTGTCCCCATAATTGAGTACAAAAAACTTACCTGAAAATCATTGCTAATGTTCATAATTTGAAAATTTTACTTATTTTAATTTAGATCAAATTGGAAACATTGGAGTTCAACATATATGTGTTTGCTTCACAGGGCTGCTACATGACCATCCACATAACGCCGGAGCCGTCATGCTCGTACGTGTCGTTCGAGTCGAACGTGCCAGCCGCCAACTACGACGAGCTGATCGCGCGCGTACTCAGCGCCTTCCGGCCGAACAAGTTCGTGCTTACCGTCTTCGCTACGCCGGTAAGCCTCTGCTTATTATAGTGCTTCCTGGGCGAGGCAGCAGGTTTTTTTAAATAATGTCAAGTGACGGGACGAACAAGTCGTGCGCCTGATGGTAAGCTACACGCCTGTCCATAACAGTTGCAGGTCACTCAGAGCTTTAATCGCATAGATCATAGGGAATCACTGCCACTGCGCCCGTCATCCTGAGACATAACGTCGCGTTACTTTCTCCAACTCGTATCTTAAAGCACAAAGTTACTGAAATGCAAAATCTGTGTGTAAACCTGTGTGTGTATATCCATTCGGAACAATTGCTGTCAAATAAATAATACTCGACCTAATCAAAACACAATGTCAAGTATGAAGCTTCATTCGCCTTTCAATTTGGTCGAGTATTACTTATTTGACAGTAAAGCTGCTAACAGATTGACTGCACGTTTGCAGTAAATGCGTGAAGTCGTAATCAACTTCGTGCAGCCGAGATCTCGATTGCTTGAAGTTGCTAACCACTTTACGCATTAACTGCATGAAGTCGGTTTCGATTGCATGCAGTCATTCGAGATCTCGACTGCATGTTGGTGATAACGAATTCATGTATTAATTGCATGCAGCCGAAACCGACTTCATGTCAATCAATCAGTTACGGTCTCGGTTGCATGAAGTCGGTTTCGACTGCATGCAGTCAATGCGAGAAGTCATGGTCAATGAGTCATAGTCACGG